ACGAGACCTTCTCCGCCCCTTTCTCGGCTCACCTGCGGTGCCCCACGGTAGCCAGCTTTTGGCCCACGGCTTTGCACCTTTGCCTCTAACAGCCCCAGTAAAAAGCTGGTGGGCGCCCCCATCCTCGCGCACCCCTTCTTCGCCGGCGGCCTCGCATTCGGCGCGCTAGCCCGAGGCAGAGGCCCCATCGAGACCAGGCCGTAGCAAGCCTTGGGCTGCACTTTGGATTGGGCAAATAAAACAAAGACGACGTGAAACCAAGTGCAGCGAAGGCAAAGCCCATGCTACTCGGCACCCAACGGCGCGGCCCGCCCCATGCTGCGCGTGGGCGGTGTCGCCTTAGCGGAGGGCCGCCCACCGCTACTTTTGGGAGTTTTTATCCACCCATTGCGTGGGGGTGGCTTCCAGGCGTGGAAACTATCACCGCTGCAACGGCACGGCTGGGGAAGACGCAAGCGATGCCTACGACAAGGTGGAAGCGTAAATGCGAGACGCTTTGCTTCCTGCAAAGGGCCTTCGTTGAGTTCAAGCCCCTGTGCGAGGCAGCTTTGCCGTCGAATTTGACATGGCTAGAAGGGTTCCAAATTTTCGCCGCCAGCGCCATTGCAGGCACTTCAGTTAGGATCTTTTGGGGGGGCGTTAGAGAGGAGGCTTGCCTTTTCTTGCTTGAGGGCGTTTTGCCGATGCGCGGCAACCGATGCTATCTGCGGGCACGCGCCAATGGAGGGGAGTTGGGGCGCCACGCTCGGGTACTTTTCCCGCCCACCCGCCCCATACGCTTGGTCCTCCTTCTGGCGGCGGATGGGCGCACGAGCATCAGTGGCTTGACGTTGTCCATGCTGCTGCGTCCCTTAACTTAAGGCGCGCAAGCTTGGCGAAGACCCCGCTGCCGGTCCGTAAGCACAGGGCCCGCATGCTGCGGGCGGCGTCCAAATCCAATGCGCACTATACCCTATAATCCGATGGCTCTGTTGAGCGTGGAGCTAAGTCTGGCTGTGCCGTCCTTTCGTTTGGGGCCAGACAGGCACCCGCGGGGTGGGGTGGGTGGCAGCTCGCTGGCGCGCGGCCACGGGGCGGAGTGCCCGGCAATGGAAATTTGCCTCAACGAGCCCCTGCTGCACCTATCGCCCACATCCGGCAGGCCGACGACGGCTGCGTTTACGGACCCGCTGCATTCCTCAGTGCACTGAAACGGGGCCCGAGCCGAATGACGGATGACGTGCTTTGATGCATGTGGAGCTGCGCTATTGATCTAACTCTTTAATGTGTGTGCTTGCTCCCTTTTTTTTTGTTTGACACGCTTGAATTGACCTACTGGCTGATTGTGACAGCCCTGCCTTGGAAGAATAAGGGTGCGAGTGAGGTCGCTGGAACGCCCCATTCCAAGTGGCGCAACCTTAATGCAGCACCGGGGTCACGCGCCAAACCCCATCGTACGCACGCAAGGAGGTAGCCGTAATGTAAAATAATTCTAAACCCATTCCCTTTTATGGGCGCCAACACCCTAATGGCTAGTGGCAACATACGGCTGATGCTGGCACGCTCTTGGGGCAGGCCAAAAAGTGGTGGGTTTCACACCAGCGTTGGCCCCACATGAGGTAACGGGGTATCTCTCGCACCAAGGATTCGCCCACGACAGCTTCTACGGCTATCGGGCCATCCGTCGGTCGTGTGTGGATAGACGAGCTGTGCGTTAGAGCGCTTTAAGGCACAGGGTGGGAAAACAGGTATTTCTCAAAATGAAAGCGAAAAGGGGGACAGGTTTCCGCGAGCAACAGCGTGCCGCATTCCGTTCCAGGCGGTGCGGCATCGGCCGGGAAGGGTGCCACCCGTTGCCTCGCCAAGGGGCTGCTCGGGCAGAAGGTTTTGGCCACACGTAGGCGCACTTGCGGTGGTGCTTTGCGGCAACTGATGGAAAAACACATCGCGGGCACATGTCGACGGGAGGTGCGATTGGGCAGCCCCCCGTACTGGGCGGAGCCTGGGAGGCTCTGGGCGCACCGCACGCAAGGACCCCCCAACGCCGCTGACAGCGCCCAGGCCGCCGCTACGAGAGCGAGTTAATTAGGGCGCCCCCGACCTCAGGTGCCGGACCTTTGGAAAGCGTAGCAGAACGCGGCACCACCTGCGCCGAGGCACCTGTGCGCTGAGACGGTCAACGTGTAGGATGGTCCCCCGTCAAGGCCGGATCCCGCATTGGCAATGCGGTCGCCTGCGGTGCCCGCGCTGGCCCAGCACATGTCCTCTCACTCAGTTGGTTGCGCGTACGCAGTCGTGAAGAGTATCCTGGCCGTTCTTCGCCCCGCCCTCCGCCCGCAGGAGCAACTGCAGCGGCTTCTTGCTTTCGGTGTCGCTGGGGACCCACGGCGCCCCAAATGCCTTTATTGCCTGCGGGGTGCGTCGCGTGCTCGGT